TCAGCACTAACTAATTAAATCAAGTTTATGAGATTATGTGAAAGAGGATGCTGTGCCATTGAATGAGTTTGATTATTTATAAACCAAGCAAAACCAAGACTTTTTTTTACAAACTGGCTTTTCTCTCAGAGCCAGAGTGTCAGTTTACAGTAGAGGGCCATTTTAGAACCTATAGCACATATTATTTAAGTATTTTCAAGATAAACAGAATGTATAAGTGCAATATATATTATAAATGTATATATTTGCACTCTTTCAACATAAATAATATTAGCATTGCACAACAAGAATTGTGATTTAACTTTTCAACTATGAAAACAAGTTTTACAAAGATATATTTTGCCACTGATTATTCAAAACTTAAGGTTGTGAACTAGCAGTGTTATGTTGCTTTGAAACATCACTATCACTGTAAACAACAGGCTAATAAAAATATAACAAACCAGCAATCTTCTTGCTGTGAGGTGGTCAAACTACCCACTGTGCCACCGTGACACCCAATTATTTTTATCATTATTATTATTAATATTATTATAATTAAATAAAAAGTTTAAAACTTTCGTTCTCCGTGACACTAGGCTGAATATCTTTGCAGATGAACAATGCAATAGCATTCGTTATTGGCGTAGAGCGAGCAGAACTGTTGCGCATGGAAAAAAAAACTTGCAATGCTTTTCTCACCACTTTTGGAGCTGGTAGCTACAGTTGAAGCAGTGCGAAAGCCGGCGATGCAGAAACACTGGAAGATGCTTTCACAACAACACCGTGGCGCCGCTTCAAGTCAGATTAGTCGGACTGCCCGCGTATTTTACAGATGCGCGGCACATTTTGCAGATTGCATCTGTCCTGTCATGTCGTCCATCTTTAAATCCATAATGTTGCCATACTTTAGATTTAAAACTCAGTGGGGAATAAAATGTTTGTTTTGCTTCTCGCACTTTCTGAGGGCGCACCACTAGCTTCATCCGCACACCTGATACATTGAGTTGTAGTGTGTGCACATCCGCAAATCCGTTGCTAAGGCTTACTTTATGTAGGTCGATTAAATTATGCGCCAAAAACAGGTTAACAACACTTGTTAATAAATAAAAAATACATTCTATATTAAAAATATAAGCTGTATCTCGGAAAAACCGATGCATCTCGCAAAAACCGATGCATCTCGATTTGCTTCCAAAATTTCATTCATCCTCTGCTGCTTAACCGATGCACTCGCATCGTGCACGCACATGACCGCGTATCGATACATATCGGTTAATCTTCCCATCCCTAGCATGGATGTTTTTAGAAAGCCTAGTAAGAGCTTGATTAGCTAGCCCAGGTGTGTCTAAAACTACACTTTGCAGGACACCGGCCCTTCAGGACCGAGTGTGGACTTGTTTTTTTCCCCCACAAATTTAAGTTGATCAAACATAAAACATTTAAATTGTCCCAAACAAACCTCAAGAATTGTGTAGCTTTAGTCTATATTATAGTATTTACGGCAGCAAGGTGACGCTGTGGGTGAGTGCTCTCACCTCACAGAAAGAAGGTCGCTAGTTTGAGCCTAATTTATTGCAAATTGGGTAAGCTAAATTGTCCCTAGTGTATGTGTGTGAATGGAAGTGTATGGGTATTTCCCAGTGATGGGTTGCAGCTGGACGGGCATCTGCTGCATAAAACATATGCTGGATAAGTTGGCGGTTCATTCCGCTGTGGAGACCCTAGATTAATAAAGGGACTAAGCTGAAAAGAAAATAACTGAATGAATGAATATTATACTATTTACAAAAGATTGTTAATGAATGCTTCAGCATTCTGTGATATTCCCTACTGAGGGTAGAATGAAATACTGTAGTATACTTAGGTTTTACTACAGTAAATGGGGGTGTACACTGAAAAAAAAAGATTTCTGCAAAACTGTTGCAAACAATTTATATGGGCTGAATTTAAACAAACTAATTACATTTAGTAGTGTTCAACTTAAATTGTTTGTTTGAATTCAGCCCAAATAAACTGTAAACAACTTAAAACAATTTAGTGAATACAAGAACAAGGAATTATCTTTGAATCCTTTTTTGTCAAAAAATTACATGACAAAAAAGTGATGACGACAGTTTTAAAAAAAAAGTAACTTATTTTAATCAGCTAATCAGGTTTCATATTTTTTATGATAAGGGATATTTTTTATCAGTATGATTGATGTTGAAATGACTATAAAAGCTGATTCAACAACAACAACAACAATAACAGCAACCACCACCACAACAACAAATAACGGTAATGTTGTTTTTGTTGTAGAACTACATTATTGGGCAATTTGCTTATATTATTTAGACAATTCCTTCATATTGTTTCAACACAAATCATTTTTTTCTATCAAGTTAACTTAATTGTTTTATGTTTAATCTTATCAACACTTACGTTTGTAAAAACAATTAAGTTGTTTAAAAAAAACTAAATAATTTTGTTGTTTCAACTCATTTTAAATAAGTAGTTCGAACAAGCAGCGAAACATATGCAACTCTAGTATTACCACAACAGATTAATTTAATCACTGTAGTGTGGTATAAAACTATTTAGTATTTACTATAAATTACTGTACAACAGTATTTTTTATATGGCACATTTGATGATTTAGTTCAAAGCAGATTTATTAAGGTATTACCATGTTGAGATCACATGAACAAACCATTTGAGTTTTGATTCAAGTTTCATAATATGCAAAATGTAATGAGCTCTTTAATCCTTTAAATATGACTTAATAGCATTGTTACAACATAGTGTCTAATAATCTTCATAGGTTTGGGTTCATACTTTATACTCTCTCGTGCTGTCTCTCATCATATAATATATATGAGTATATGAACATACATATTCTATCACTATATGATATAATGACATGAGAGCACGACAGTGTGGAATATAATAATTTTTAGCGAGGACTAAAAAAACCATCCTAGCATTTTCACAAAGCACGTAACCAACCGTTTTGATAATGCTGGCCTCTACTGGTCAACAGGCTTAATTACAGAGTCAGTCGGTTCACTCAACAATATGAGTTTTGGTTTATTTTATAAATGTAATATGTATGCAAAATCAATTACAAATAAAGTTGAATAAAACTTAATAAAATAAAAGGCTATTTATGCATAAGAAAATAAATTGGTAAATTACAATTATGACATTATTATAATTATGAACAAAACATCAAACAAATGGCACATAATTATGACTTGGTAATTAGGTAACATTAAAACTGTCTATGTCTGCAAATATTTTTTTATAAATTATATTTATAATATTGTAAAAAAATATTAAATTATACAATAATCATCATTTAGTTTTTTTAATCTCATATATATGGCTTTTCATGCCTTAATGTTTCTTTTTTTAGTTTTCCATATTATTCTTAGGTTGCAGAAACTTCCTTACAAAAATGAAGACATTTTCCTTGAATAATACTGTTTTTTTTTAATTGTATGTTACCTTTAAATAAAAAGTAATACCAACTTTTCTTACAACTACATTGCTAATATTACAGGTATGTCAATATTGGTAGACCCACATATAGTATTGACCCCACCATTCAGCATACTTATTTACTCATGTAAATGTGTGTGTGTGTGTGTGTGTGTGTGTGTGTGTGTGTATATATATATATATAATTAAGTGTGTGTATATATATATATTTTATTAATGTTTTGAGTTTTTAGTTACTATTTTTCCAAAATCCTTCCACATAAACATGAAGATTCTTATCATAATTCTTCTAATTATCAAACAATCTCTGCAGATTCTGTCTGGCCCTGATTATAGGATATCATTGTTTGCAATTGGTTTATTGTTATTGCTCTTCTTATTAATTTTTGTATAGTTCTAAAATATAAAATACCTGCGCCAAAGGGTTTTCCCTGAAACAAGCAAATGAACAAATGGTCAATCAATCAATCAATCAATCAATCAATCAATCAATAAATCAATCAATCAATCAATCAATCAATCAATCAATCAATCAATCAATCAATCAATCAATCAATCAGTCAGTCAGTCAGTCAGTCAGTCAGTCAGTCAGTCAGTCAGTCAGTCAGTCCGTCCAATAATCAATCAATCAATCAATCAATCAATCAATCAATCAATCAATCAATCAATCAATCAATCAATCAATCAATCAATCAATCAATCAATCAATCAATCCATCAATCTATCAATCAAATAATTAATCAATCAGTCAAACAAGTAATCAGATAAACAAACAAACAATCAAATATATATTAAAAAAATTTTTAAAAAAATTATCAAACACAAACAATCAATCAAACAGAAAATGAATTAATAAACAGTCAAACAAAACAAACAATCAAACAGACAGACAGACAATCAATCAATCAATCAATTAATCGATCCAACAAACAAATAATCAATAAGTCAAACAAACAAACAAAAATAAAGAAATAAATTAATTAACAATCAATCAAACTAAATCAATAAATCAACGAATAAACAATTAAACAATCAATCAAACAAACAAACAAACAAACAAACAAACAAACAAACAAACAAACAAACAAACAAAATAAATAAACAAAATATTAAACAAACATTCAAACAAACATTCAAACAAACAAACAAAATTAAACAAAATATTAAACAAACAAACAAACAAACATTTAAACAAACAATCAAACAAACTAACAAACAAAATAAAACAAAATATTAAACAAACAAACATTTAAACAAACAATCAAACAAACAAACAAACAAAATAAAACAAAATATTAAACAAACAAACATTTAAACAAACAATCAAACAAACAAACAAACAAAATAAAACAAAATATTAAACAAACAAACATTTAAACAAACAATCAAACAAACAAACAAACAAACAAAATAAAACAAAATATTAAACAAACAAACATTTAAACAAACATTCAAACAAACAAACAAAATTAAACAAAATATTTAACAAACAAACATTTAACAAATGAACAAACAAACAAATAATAATCCCATAATTGATGCATTCACATCACTATCAGTATAAGATCTAAATGATAATAATACTGAAGATCTAAATAAATGAGCGTCACATCTTTATAGCATCTGCAGTTGTACAGTATCAGTTACTTTGTCAGTGGCACTTTTTTCTGTCCTGCTGCTATTGAAACTCCACCCTTCTCTCACTCTCTCTCTTTCTCTCTCTCTCTCTCCTCTGCAGTGTTTTCTCTGCTGCGGTCAGCACAAGTGTTCAGTGTCAGTCTGGACGATGCAGGACTGTCTGATCAGGTACAGTATTGAGTCTAATCTCTGGTCTGCTTTAAACAGCTGCATGTGTCTGCTTTCCACAGCATATCTCCTGTTTGCTGCGCTCCAGCTCTCTATGGCCTTCAGTCACAAATAGTGTCTTTTATATGGTGCTTTTACCAGGAGTTTAGACACTTTACTTGAGAAGCATGCGTTTACATCTATTGTTTGAGAGAAGATCTGTGCAACTTCCTGAGGCGGGAATTATGTAGTCTGTATGTGAGCTATCTGGATGCTCAATTTTGCATGGATGCTAATCAGACTCCTTACATTTTTTATCATATTTTATTGTCAATGAAAAATCAATAACTGTATGAGACTGTATGACTGTATGAGATGGCAAAATTTTAAAGCATATACATATATATATATATCCATATAACAAAAATATTTATAAATTTGAAATTATAATTATGAAATAATTATGAATACATTTAATTAGATTTGTAATAGAGACAGATAATATAATTATTTAAAAAACGCTTTTTAAATATGTTTAAAATATATGTTCAATCAGTATCTTATACTATATGACGTGCCACACCTCCTTTTAAAAATATTCATGAGTTTGTACAAATTAGCCACTAGCCAACTTACAAAAAAAAAAAGTTATGTTTCTTTCCACCAATAAAAATTATTGTTATTATAATACGTAAAATATATTCTGCTTCTACTTCTACTTTTACTACTACAAATGCAAATTGAATAATCTAGGCGCAGTCTAAAGCGCACGGTGCAAAAGCATTAAGGGCATGTCCGAATCCACTTTTGCTATTTTAAGGATGAAAAAACAAGCTCTGCGCCCCAGCACATGGTCTAACAGAGTTGTGCTTGTTCTCTTAATGAGTTATGGGTGTGTTTTGAGCATAACGTGCATTAAACCAAGTCTCATCTCCCATTCCTTTTAAGAGTCAGTTGCGTCACACCATGGCACACTTTCTCTTTACTTTACTTTTACTCTTTACTTCCTTTACTTTTGGGGATAAGGAAACAGTGTTGCACGCACTCCACTGAAAAAAAAAAAAACATTACCCTACATATTTAATCTCCTCTGTTAAACGCAGAGATTTGTTTTTAAACTTCTAAATTCAGTTCTAATTTACAATACAAACAATACAATACAAACAAATAAATGAACAATAACAACAGCGTGTGGTCAAAAAACTGAGTTAGTCTTATTCTTATGCTCCATATGGTTATGCATACGTCTCCAAAACACGACAGATGGACAAATCCAAACTTGTTTTTATTAAAACAAATATAAATATGCATATAATAAATAATACTTCTAATAATAATGACATTATACAAATGCAAATAGACATGAATAAACTGAAAAAAGTCCCCCGAGATGAAAAAGTCCTTAAAATAGCAATGCACCAACAATGCGCCTTAAACTTCCTTTCTAGACCGGAACACCCATGAGTCTGCAAAGAGGCACAAATGGATTTACTATTTAACCAACGTGGTGCAAAACTGGAAAAACTAGGGTTGCGTTCGTCTGAAAATACCAACAAATCATGCCAAACAGGTCTTGCATCTTAGTGCCCTGTGTGTAAGATAGGGCCCTAATTGTGTCTGTGTGCAGTCTTAATGAGGACACAGAGGACAGCTAAAACACTGAACAGTTCTTTCAAGAGCTATAGGAATATTAAATCATATAAATATAGTTTTAAATTTGTCGCTCGTGTAGCCATGAATTTGGTCACCTTATAGCTAACAGCTAAAACCAACATAGGCCGATTCTGAAAATGTACCCTTGTATACATTTCTGGAGATCATGAATTATGTAGCCAGAGCTACTTCAGGCTGCATTTCGTTCTTAAAACGAACGCTTTTCCGCTGTTACCAGTTCTCGCTGTGTATGTCGGCAGACTTGTGATACGGAGCGGAGTTGACTGCAATGGTGGGGTTCGAGTCGGTGTACGGTGTAAGAAAGCAGGTAAAAAAAAAAAAAAAAAAGTATCTCCTTGGATGTATTTGGCACTCTCCAGAAATGTATATAGGGGTACAAATACAGAATGAGCTTGGGTTAGCTAAAACATTAGCACCAAAAACATGCATTAAAAATATCTACACAGACATACAATTGACATGATTTATCTTCAATGGGTTTAAATACAAATCAGCCATTGCCCAAAAATAATTTAAGTAAAAAAATTACTTCCTTAGCTCAAACGTTGTTTTTTTTCTTTGCTCAGGACTCTAATCTGTATGTGGAGTAAGGATTAATGTGATGTGAATCTACTGATTTTTAACTAGTTCCTGGTTGTAGAGATCGGAAGTGATAAAACTGACCAGTTTTACAACTATCCCCGGTCTCCCCTACGTTGTTTTATTGAATGCTCTGTTCTCTAGTTGAGGCTCATCATGGCTGATCATGTCGAATCAATAACTGTGCTGATAAAAAAGGAGAGGAACAGTGCTTCAGAAAGTGCTCTGAGTGCTTCCTCATCCCTCTATGGGATGGTTGTCGTCTGGCCTCTATTGCTTTCAGAGGGGAAATTCAACACTTATGGATATTGATCGTCTTGTGCTGCATGAAACTCACAAGATCATATTTCCATCTTGATATCACTAGAAAGACATTGAATTATTTTGAGCTTAAATGAAGTAAAATATTTACATTTTTAATATAAACATTTGATTAATTTCTTTATTAGGCTACTTTGTGACCTGGACAGCTTATGAGAGGTTTTTAGTCAAAATGTTTTTTAATCAGTTTGATGCCTCCTTCATAAATGAAGGTATCTAAAATGTAAAACGTGTAGTCTGTAATTTAAGGTACACATGAAGTCAAAATTTGTTAGCTCACATTTTGTGGTGAACAATTAATCTGTGTTTCACTAAGAAAAAAAATAGTTTGCCCTTGTAATCTACAAATTAAATCTGAAAATGCACTTCCTGTTTGTTCTGAGTTTAATTCCCAGATTTTGTCTGTCTGAGTTATTGGGCGTGGTTAAGTATCTTAAAAATATTATACTCTGAACTCCTTGTGAATTTAAAGAATCTCAGGCAGTCAAAAAGTGCTCAGTGTCCCCTGATCATTTTCTACTACAAATGGCTTTTTAAAACTTGTTTTGAATTTGTTTGTTGTACTCATTTTAAAGCAGTATTTCAGCCAGTTCAGGGGTCCGTTCTTCGTATGTGGATTACTCAGTTGGCTGGATTTGGATATTGTCGATTTGACACGATCCAGGATCGTTTCGTTCTCCAAAATTGATCTGTGAGTTGTTTGCATAGCAACAGTTCTGGTAGATTAAACCTGGTCAGGAGCAGGCTCATTACATATAAACAGAATTTGATCGGGTCAGTTCAAGCAAAGATAATACTGAAAGTATGTGCCGGATTCTGATATTTTCTTACACTTGGGAAAATAGTAAATATTTTTAAACTATATATAAAGTTATATATATATATATATATATATATATATATATATATATATATATATATATATATATATATATATATATATATATATATATATATATATATATATATATATATAACTTATGCAATCTGCAACCCCGAAATGAAGATAAAGGCTGCCACCTGGTGGTGCAAAGAGAAAACTTATTGATATGAACTTTTTAGAAAGCGTTAGTATAATTTGTGTTTGGTAATAGACATGCAAAATATGTGACTTTTTAAAAAGCAATAATACATATGCAGTCATAAAATTTTTTTGACAGTTAACATGACGTGATTTGATGCTTCAAAAAAGTTGCAGACACCTTTACCAATATTAAAATGCTTTTGTAAACATCCAGTTATTCTTTACACCAGTTTTAAAAACGGCTACTTTAATCCTACTATGGCTACTATAGTAAGGAAAATCCGCTCTAACTGTAAAACTAAATAAATCGCTCTTGACACATGAAAGGGCCAAGCCTGCAGCCCATAACAAGGTGTAAAATTAATGCGTATCATATATAACAAATCGTTTACTGCTAATTTTATGTGATTTTTCACACATGGATAATTGAATATTTATCAGATGATGTCATTACGCTGCTGTGCCGTCAGCCAATCGTTGCATTGCTGATCATGATTTCGAGGATCGATAGATCTGTCCTTCACAACACACGCAGCGATCTCAGATCAGTTCATCCAATCATTTTAATTAGATTCACAAACTTGTATGAAGAACCAAATTAGCCACTAGCCAGAGATCAGTTATCAAGATTAACAGATCCAGGATCTGCTAAATCATCTTAGATCATTTAAGCAAGGTACGAAGAACGGACCCCAGATGTATCAGTCTGTGCTGTTTATCTTCTCTCAGGACACACATGATCCCGGTAAGGGATGAAGATGCCGAATCTCAGAGGAAGGCCAAATCACGGCAGGCCAGACAGACTCGGAGAGCTACACAGGTATCATGTACACAGTCCCCCTTTCATTCATGCAGAATATGACACTATATATATATATATATATATATATATATATATATATATATATATATATTTAAATGTATGAACATTTATATATTTATGTATGTAGTATATCATCTTTGCTTCAATTAAAAAAACAACAACTAATAAACGCTTGTGTAAGAGGTTTGTAATACAGTGTATGGTACTAAAGAAAGCTGAAAACCTGTTTTCCATATATGGAAATATGTCAATGGGTACTTGTTTCCAACATTCTTCTAATTATCTCCCTGTGTTCGACGCCAAAGAAACTCAAACAGGTTTTGAACAAGTCGAAGAAATGACATCATTTTGATTTCAGCTGAACTGTCTCTTAGCTTATATCTAACTTATTTCATTCATTCATTTTCTTTTCAGCTTAGTCCCTTTATTAATCTGGGGTCGCCATAGCGGAATGAACTGCCTATTTATTCACACTTACACTACAGACAATTTAGCCTTGCTAATTCGGCAGGTTTCAGTACAGCGTAACCGCTACTACGTCATCGGGTGGACCTGGCCTATATGTGGATATGCATAGGTCACAGATCATGCGCAGATTGTGAAAACAGCCGTTTATTAGGAATATCTGTACACGAACGCAAGGGTTTCATGTCCAATGCCTTTTATTTGCAGTATTTTGAAATACCTGTCCTGATCTCGGGTTTTGTTTCAAATACTTTATATATCATATACATTAACATCAGAGACCTGTCCTGATCTCAGGTGTTTCGTGTATGTTCACTTTATATTAGTTAACATCAGAGACCTGTCCTGATCTCAGGTGTTTCGTGTATGATCACTTCATATTAGTTAACATCAGATACCTGTCCTGATCTCAGGTGTTTCGTGTATGATCCCTTTATATTATTTAACATCAAAGACCTGTCCTGATCTCAGGTGTTTCGTGTATGATCCCTTTGTATTAGTTACATTAGATACCTGTCCTGATCTCAGGTGTTTCATGTATGATCATTTTAGTATTAGTTAATATCAGATACCTGTCCTGATCACAGGTTTTGTGTATGATGACTTTAATTACATATAAAAAATAAATATATGTTAATTAACTAAGAGTCAGAAATATTAACCATGGTTGATTACAAAGAAATGTGGTATTTATTTGTTTAAACAGGACTGATTACCATATTTTAAACTACAAACACCCAGTTAATCTAATGTACCACAACCATTAATATTATTTTGTGGTTTACCATGGAAGTACAAAAGTCCAGAGAGTTCATTAATTTTGCAGTAAAATGGAGTAAAACAAATGGCTACAAATGAAGTTTTACACTTTTCATGTTCAGCTGTTTTTGCTAATGAAATCATTAAAATATAACATTATGAAAACAAAAAATAACCTGTATGATTGTTTTTTTTTTTTCTTCGTTATCCACCGCGATAGGAGGTTATTTATCCATCGAAGCTACAAAAAAAAAATTGTACTGCGCATGATCGGTGACCTCTCAGTATTGTTTTTTTTAGGGGAGCGTTTCCCAAACGCCAACCGAGCCACGCCCATTTTACGTCGTGGTAATGAAACCCCTGGAATTTAGTGCACGGCTACCCTATTCACCTGTAACTGACCCTTTTTCTTCTTCTTACTGCACCACCGCATAGCCCTACCCAACTTATTTCTATAAACTAGTTAGACAGCATTTTCATCTCAGATGTAGTTCTTAATTCCTTTCTCACCTTCGTACAATTCTTGCTAATCATTTGAAGTCATTACCTCATTCGATATACGACGAACCGTCAGATGGCGCCAAAGTGTTGTTTACGCAAAATGAAAAGTAGCATGAGAATATTTTACCCTTAAGAGTTGCCATTGATTTATCAGAATCATAGTTCTGCTATGGATACATATTCTCATTTTAAATTGTCTTATTTAAGGGAGTAACCCTCTCAGAGCTCATGGAGGCTAAGAAGACCTTCAGTACATCAAAACTGGAAATTCAACCAGGTGAAGTGTGCAGATCTACAGAGAGACTGTGTGTTCAGAGAGTTCATGAGGACACCACAGACTCCAGTCCATCTCTGAAAACACTAGAACAACATTCTGAGGATCATCTTGATGAGGTGATTATGACACAAAAACGCTGCAATTTACCACCGGAGAACAATAACAGATGCAAATAATGGGTTAGTCTGCAAAAGTCTAAATCATATTTAATGATAACCTAAAACTTACTGTTGCTGTTTGATTCAATAATAAAACATCCAATAACAAAATGTATTTTCATTATTAATTAACGTCTGGCATAATAAAAACTAAACAAATACTTGATAATACAGCTTAAATGTATTTCAAACTTGCACTTTTGTCATTTTACAAATACATTAAATATTAATAGTTAAATATTAAATAATTAAAAGAATTAACTTATAATTATTATTTAAATAATAATTAAAAATTAAATAATATTAATAGTTAAATATTATTCATTTAGTTGTAAATAACAGCCAATGTCTACATTTTAGAATATTCTTTTAAGTGTATTATTTCTGTAATAATTACTCTTTGTAAAAGTATGCTATACATATTTAATTTATTCAGGAGCCAGTGGTCAAAGGCTATGATTGTTTATATGGACCCTTTTCACAAGCCTGTTATGATGCGTTTAATGGTCATCAGCATCTTTATCTTCTACACAAATCTCTAAGTTATCTGGAAACATCGGGTAATACTGTTAGGATCACATTTTTTGATTTCTCAAGTGCATTTAACACTATCCAGCCTGCACTATTAAAGGTAAAATTAGAAAATGCAGGTTTACAAAAAGGTATGGTAAGTTGGTTAACTGACTATATCACTAATAGACCACAGTATGTTAGGATGCATAACTGTGTGTCACAAGTTATAATGAGCAGTACTGGGGTTCCTCAAGGAACAGTTTTAGCTCCATATTTATTTACATTTTATACATCTGATTTTCAATACAGCTCCAAAAATTGTCATTTACAGAAGTTTTCTGATGACTCTGCAATTGTAGGTTATATAAGGAATCATGATGAGAGTGAGTATAGGTTGCTTTTAAAAAGTTTTGCTGACTGGTGTGATATGAATTGTCTTAATTTAAACACTATAAGACCAAAGAAATTATTGTTGATTTTAGTAGACATCCATCACAAGCGGTGCCCGTAATTATACAAGAGTCAGAAATTGAGATCGTCATATAGGTACCTGGGTGTATATTTGAACAACAAGCTCGATTGGTCTGAAAACACAATCCAGGTGTATAAGAAGGGTCAGAGCCGCATTCATTTATTAAGACGACTGAGGTCCTTTGGTGTGTGTCAGACACTGTTAAAAACTTTTTATGACTCTGTGGTGTCTTCTGTGATTCTGTATGCTGTAACCTGCTGGGGAGGGGGACTGTTGGAGAAGGAGAAAAACAAATTAAATAAGCTCATAAAAAGGGCAGGTTCTGTTGTGGGGTGTGCACTACCTACCATAGAAGAGATTGCACAGGATCGAATGCTGGACAAATTTGTTAGTATAATGAACCACGATAGTCATCCCCTTTATGATACAGTCCAAGCGTGTGCAAGCTCTTTTAGTACAAGATTAATTCAACCCCAGTGCTACAGAGAAAGATACAGGAAGTCTTTTTTACCAACAGTGATCAGATTGTATTAATAAAGTCATACCAGATGAATTGTGCTGAACTTGAATTAGATATTGGATATGTACAAGTGTTTACTCGTTTTTTTGGAACCAAGGTGTGCAGTATGAATGTAATCTTATTATTGTTTTTATATGTATGTAACTTATTTATCTATTTTTAGTATGGAGAGCTCTGCTGTGACATGTGAATTTCCCTCCGGGGATTAATAAAGTCAAACTAAACTAATCTTAAATTCTTCAAATTATATATATATATTTTTTCTTTTGTTTTTTTTTAAATGTATGAACATTTATATATATTTATGTATGTAGTATATCATCTTTGCTTCAAATGACAAAAAAATTAATTAGTGCTTGTGTAAGGGGTATCTAATACAGTGTATGGGACAGGACAGCAAATTTGACATTATTCTCCCTTCTGGCTGCCGTCATCAGTCTCACCATCGTTGAGTTTTTCTTTTAGTATTCGAGCAAAAAAAAATTGTAAAACAGATTATTTGTTGTACTCTCCCATTCACTGTGCTCTAAGTTTTCCCAACTATGACGACTATTGAGAAACCCGGAAGTGTGAAAAGGTCTATTGTCCAAAAATAAGTTTGAAAGGCCCTGAGACCCAAATAATTTATTTTATTTTATTTTATTTGTGAATTCCTACATCTTTTGGGTTAAAAAACTACAATTTAGAGTTTTTACATTTTGTTTTTATTTTTAATTTTACAGCATGTCCACTGTAGTGGACCACAGGACCATTTTAGTTCAAAATGACCGCAATTCAGACAACAAAACTGTACAGGATATGGCTGTAAAGGGATATTAGTCCAATATTAATGTAACAAAAACAAAACAAAAGCCATTTTTCCTTTTGTATTGAAATTCCTGAAACAGTTTAGTCTGAAAGAGCCTAACTAACTAAAAAAAAAAAATAAATGTGATGTTAATCCAAATCAAATTTAACATAAAAGCGATTTAAAACTGATTGTCATTGTCTAATTGTCTCTAATTCTCTAATTGTCTGATTGTCAGACTCTAAATCAGAGTCTCCCTCAACTATCTTATAAAGAATCGTCTCTGCTTCAGTTCTGCCCCCAACAACAAGCATAAACAATATATAAACAATATAATATAAATGTAATAATAATTGCAAAAACATTTAAAAAGCTCAATTTTACATAGCTCTCTCCTTCCCATAAAATGTGCTTTTTTGTATGTCGGCCATTTTAAATGCAGTGTTAAAAGTGGTTCCTAGCAGGCCAGCCAATCAAATGACATATCACTAGAAAGCCCAGGATGTCATCTGAACAGTACAACAAGACTTGACAGAGTAGCTAAAAAAATGCAAGGAAAAATTATGAAAACACAATAATTACTACAGATGACACAGGTCAATGGGCGGGGACTAAGGAGGATAAATGAAATGTGTTAATTTTGGTTGCATGATATTGATTTAAGTATTAACTGATTCATTCTCCAAGCAAGGAAACTGGAAAAGAAGATCTGGACCCAATCCTGAAAGGTCTTCCTTTTGCATGTCTTCAGTAAAAGGAGCTTGTGGATTCACTCCTAGTCTGAAGAATCACAGGAGCTTAAAAGGTCCTATAAACACCTCCTTATCTGAGTGTGTAATATTTTATAAACATCATCATCATCATCATCATCATCATAGTAATATATTGTGTCTTTGTCTGTTCAGAGTCTGAATGGATGGATGAAAATGACAACATTCTTTATGGTTGCTCTGGTGCATCTCTGGCACAGAAACTCATTGAAGACAGTGACCTGCCTGGCCTACTCACTGAGGTAACATTAGCAAATGTGTTTGAGTCTCAGGCATATGGCATATGCGTATGGGTTGTTGACATGATTTTGGATTTTCACTGTCACACAAAACAAAAATTAATATAATTAGTATTGTCAATATTTAAAATGGAATAAATGGTTAAACAGCTGGGCTTAGTGGCGCGTGCCTGTAATCCACTGGGATTACAGCTACTGATAGGCTGAGGCAGCTGATCGCTTGAGCTCAGGGCTTCTGGGCTGCAGTGGACTATGTTGATTGGGTGTCTGCACTAATGGGCTGTTTCCTCTGAGTGGTATGGTTCTGTTCGGTAGGGCAGCACAGCAAGAAGGTCGCTGGTTCGAGCCTTGGCTGGGTCAGTTGGCGCTTCTGTGTGAAGTTTGCATGTTCTCCCTGTGTTCGTGTGGGTTTCCTCTGGGTGCTACGGTTTACCCCACAAGTTCAAAGACAGGTATAGGTGAATTGGATAAGCTAAAATTGTCCGTAGTGTATGTGTGTAAATGAGTGTCAATGGGTATTTCCCAGTGATGAGTTGCAGCTGGAAGGGCATCTGCTGCATAAAACACATGCTGGATAAGTAGGCGGTTCATTATGCTGTGGCGACCCAAAATTAATAAAGGGACTACGCAGAAAATAAAATAAATGAATGAATGAATGTTTAAGTGCAAGGAATTGTTCACAGTATTTCCTATAATATTTTTTCTTCTGAAGAAAATCTTGATTGTTTTATTTCGGCTAGAAAAAAAGCATTTTATTAAAAAAAACTAACAACATTATGAGGTCAATATTATTACCCCCCTAAAGCAATACATATTTTTTGATTGTCTACAAAAGAAATAGTCGTTATACAATGACGTACTTCAATAAATTGCAGCTCTAATAAATGAAAAAGATAACTGTAAAATCATCAATAAATACCTCAAGCCTAATTATGCAGGTGGCGGTTTTTGTAAAAGGCCACCGTTTCCAATCCCAATATTTCTAAAAACATAGGAACTTGATACATTTTTTCACTGAAAACCATGTCCTGTGGTGTTGCATTATATGCTGATTTTAAATAAGGCAATTCAAAGGAAAACGTTAATTTGTTGAAAGACCCTATTAGAGATCATGTCTGAGTCCGAAACCGCATAGTTCCATACCATAGATATATACACTAGATATCGCATAGGGACCCTGAGCATGCGTCAATAGCGCCGCCACATTGGTACAGTGCTCCCAGGACAAATGTCATTCAACCGCACTAGTCAAGACAGTGTTATTACGTGAAGATGCGGGACTTTTAATGCTGTCTACGGGTGTAGTAACGAGCAAACAAAGAAAACAAAGCACAAAGGCAGAACATTTCATAGGTAATATTAAGTTTGTTTCTGTTTTTGTATGTTCTGAACTTTTGTGCTAATCAGGTAACGTTATTGATGATAACAGTCACTTACTGCATTCACCAAAGCAGCTCCAACTCGCACTAAACACTCGGCTTATGCTAGTTTTGTTGAATAAAATCAGCAAACAATGCAAAAGAAATTTGACAACGAGATGCTGTGCTGTCAGAAACTGGTATTGATGTCGGCTAGTGAAAGAGTCGTTTGGGGGAATCATTTACAAATGAATTGCTCCCTCCGTCAGTATGAGAAGTGAAAGCAGGAGAGGAGGTGTGTTTCAGGACATGATTAGATCAAATTTAGGAGGGTGAATAGTACATTTCTGTACACACAAACACAAGCTTTTTGTCAGGAATGCCCGTGCGGTCACTAATCCATCAATGTAGAAGTGATGTAAAATTTTCATTTTCGTAATTAGAAAAAAAAAATTACATACTAACATCCAGGAAAACTCCCGATCACAGATATATGTGTATATGTGTATATCTCTGGCTTTGGATGGCCACAGTCCTCCACTGTACCTTGGTCCCGCATTCATTTCAAAGGAGCGCTACCCTGTAGCAAGATGGCGGCACTATTGACGCATTCCGTCCAATAGACAACAATAGGCCAGGCGACATCTAATGTATATATCTATGGTTCCATACTATACAGCAGGGGTTCTCAAACTTTTTTCATCAAGTACCTCCTCAGAAAAAAATTGTCTCTCCAAGTACCACCATAATGAGCAGTGTTGAAATACAGTAGCGTAGTAAGCCCAGTAAAGCAGCTACAGCGCTGCAGTTCTAAAATGTGGCAGATTAATTTCTATTATTAAGAGTATTTATTATTGCCAGCCACTTTAAACATTATAAATAATCTGAATGTAAACACTGTACTGTGCTTATATGTAAGAAAAGAAACAAACAAAAAACTAAAAACGCCAACGTTTAAATTAAAATGTGTTTTTGAAAGTTAAAAATGGTAGGCTGATGTTCTTAAAAAGTAAAAAGAAAAGTGCTGTACTTCAATGTAAAGTGTTAACATATAGTAGCCAATTCATCAACACCTGGAAATGTTGCCTGGACCTCAGAAATATAGGCTATATGTCATATAATAAATAATATTATATGTCACATTCATACATAAATCATTTTTGATCAATTTTGAAATATATGTAGCAAGTACAATTGATATCTCCACGTACCACTAGAAGGAAGCCTGCGTACCACTGGTGGTACTCGAACCACAGTTTGAGAACAAGTGCTATACAGTATGCTAAAATCAGTATGCGAGCCGAGTAGTATGTCCGAATTCATAGAATTCGAAAATCAGTATGCGAGATGACTTACTACTTCCGGCGAGATTCTGAAGTGCGCATCCCATTCATGCTGCACTATGCATTGGTGCCTCATGAGAGAATTCATGAATGGGAGTGAAGCGATGCAACTGACGGTAGGTCACTTGACCATGACAAAAAAGCAGATGTAGTACGTCTGAATTCCATTTATTTTGTGTGGTAAAATGTAAATAGAACCATTTTCTCAACTCAGAAAGCTCTCTGATTAGTGAAAACTCATGAAGTGACCAGTTGTAGACAGGGCCTAAATAGGCAGATGAACAGGTTAACCTAATAAAGTGGCTGCGTATACTGAAGTTATTCCGTTTTCTCACTACTAGATGGCACTGCTGCACAATTCTGTAATATACTGTACTGTATATACAGTATCAAAACTTTGACCTTGTTGAAAAACCCTGCTATAAAGTCAACTTTTGTGCTTCAATTTGCGATTTTCTTTAAATGCCATTACACACGTTACATTCTTCTTTCTGTCATCTCTGTTCATGTGTACAGATAGAAAAGACCTGTCTGGCAGAGCTGAGTTTAGAGAAGTGAATTAGTGTGGTGCCCTGAACGATATCCTGACATTCCATACCATGTAGGGCAAAACTACCCGTTTGCAGCCTCGCTTCCCACTCCTTTCCAATCTCTCTGAGCCTTCAGCACGGTAATCTTAATTCATCACATAAAATCAAAGAGATTAATAATAAAGATAAAGCACTGTAAGCAATGCAAAATGTTTTTTTTTAATAAGAGTTTTTGTCTTATTTTTACTCTAAATATCTAAAAACATCTTTAAAAAGCACTATTTACACAAGCAAAAGGGTTGTTTTGTTTTAAAAAGAAATAATTCCAAATTAAGTTGAATGATCTGCCAGTGGGGTAGGTAAAATAGCCTTATTTTTAAACTTAAACAGGTTTATTTTACTCACACCATTGGCAGATTATTTAGTCTATGTTAAGAAAAACACACTTCAGTTTGACTTATTTGTATTTAAAAGCACTCTGAAAAAGTTATTCAAAGATGTTTCGTTGGATTTACTCAATTTATTTTTTACGTTAAGTGGTTGTAAACAATTTATTTGGGCTGAATTTAAACAAACAAATTAAGTTGAACATTTTTAAACTTAATTTGTTTATTCAGTTGAATAGAGCACTTGGACCCGGAAGCCGCTCCGCATGACATCACACATAACAAGCGGATATTATGGTTCTTCTGAGTGTGGCAGTTTAAGTTCAGTTCAAAACACTATTTAGATTTTTGTCTTATAATGTGTTAAAAAGTGTCATTTTGGGGGCGTGTACACGGCTCGCTGTTTTAGGGGTGTGTTGCTTCACATCAAAATTAGTTTTAACTTCTCGCCCAACTTAACATGGGGGCAGAGCGAAGAGCTCCCCCGCTTTGTGTTTGGCAACAGACAGGCAGACAAAGAGAAGCAACAATAGTAAGAGGACCAGCATTCAGCCGTGCATGTACACAGACCAAGCAGAGAGCTCAAAATCATTTGTGTCTTTGTGTAGTTGTACAGCCAACTGTGTGCTAGTTTAAAGTTCCTTGCTTGTACACCGAGACTAATAACCACGCACACTGAATTAACTTCAACTGAGGCACTGGATGTGCCGCTCAGAGCCGCGACATGGCACACCAGATGCACACATTCGCATGTTATTTGAAATGAAACTATTCAGATGGCGCTCTGTGGCGCGGCAAAAATATGAACAGTGTCCTGGGTCGTGGCTGGGCGCGGAGGACAGCCACCGACTTGAGGCGCTGGTGTGTGTACCCTGATAGAAACCTATGTTTAGAATTCTAAAATGCATGGTGCTGCGCTTCGCAGAGGGGCGCTACTAGTGTGCGACCTGCTTAAGGCAAGTTTGTTATTTACAATAGAGGGATGCGCATGTGAGGCACCTAGTTCCAGCTGCACCTAATTAAGATGACAGGGAGCTTCTGTGACCGTGAGAAATGCAAACGGCTGAATTTTTAGAAAGACGCAATGAAAAATACACGTTTACAAACCCACTTATTGTTACTAAAAACAATGGCGCCGATGAGAGCAATCATGTGGTGAATGTTGATCTTGTGTTGAGCCCAATGAGCCGTACATCTAAAAATAGAGCAAGGGTGTTCCTTTGGTGACATCGCTTTGACTCACACGCTGAAAATGGCGGATGTGAAACAACAAACTGAGGATATGGTGATGCGCACCTGTCAATCATAAATATTGGTGGGTGGGGGACTGCACTCCTACGTCAAGTTGCGGTCGATCTAAAAACCGCTTCAATTGGTCCACCTTTT